CATAAAATAAACAAAAATAAATTTAAAAATGAAATATTATACTGTACTGGGTAACCAAAATGTTCCCAGACCACTGACTTGAATGTGCTCTGCAATCTCAAGGTTATTATCCATCTTGAGCAATGAAACTAGCCTAGCTTTTACTGCAGGTGTGATTGCTCAATCGTGATTGGACCAGAATAGTCACGTGACACACACAGTTGAGGACAATATATACTGTATATATAAAATAAATGTATATATACACAAAATATACAACTTGCCCTAAGTTTAAATAGAACCATTACACCATTAATAAATATTGTAATACATCCATGCCATATTTCTGTTTTACACCTGTTATATTACACATGCAATAAGTCTCTGTTGAGTCATATGATACATGAAACCTAGTCGTGGTGTTTGTGGAGTTACTCACTTGTTCTGGCACTTTCTCCTACAGAAGGACAAAAGCAAAATGGGTGCTGGAGCAGTGAGAGAGCTGAAGAGCTTCTCTGCAGAAACCCCATCAGATGCAGCACGCTCCGTCCTCCTGGATTTCCAGGGTGAGCTGTCCATCCTACGATGCCTTCCAGCTTAAGCTGATGAGACGTTGGTGGGCTGGGTTATCACCCCAGAGCAGCTGCAGATCCCAGAGCCCCTTGTCGTGTGTCTGTCACTCTCACAGATGAGAACAGCAACCAAAGCTCCCTGTCAGACACGTACCAGCCAAAGGTGGACAGCAGCGGTAACTCCAGCCCCCAGCCCAGCGAGCCAGTCAGCCCAGCTCACACCTGTGACTTTCGCACCGATGATTCCCAACCCCCCACCCTGGGCCAAGAGAGCATGGAGGGTGAGGAAGCGACTAGGGCATCCTAATCCTTTCTGCACTTTGCTCTGATCCTGAACACACAAGCTGCTTACATCATCAGCCATTTATAATGCTGTATGCTTTTCATATAAGCTGCCTATGGAAGACTGTCGCTTAACTACATTATACCAGACCCTCCGTATCAGCGGTTTCAGTTATCCGCAGTTTACTGCAGTCTGGGGGAAAAAAAATCATAAAATGTGTAGCGGTATATTTTTTCATCGTTCCTTTGTCCTTTGAGGGGTATAAAAAGCATGATTTTTATGGCTCCGTCATCCCTTAGTACAATGCTCTATCGTCTCTTGAGAATTAGGTTAAAATATCAGCATTCCTTTCATTCGAGAAAGTACAGCACGTTACAGTAGGTTTACTGTATAATAATGTACAATGTACTTTGTTATTACTGTATTTAATGTTGATAATGTCTTGCTGTGTGCAATTTATCAATTAAATTACGTTTATGTAAGTACATGAAAATCACGTTATATATGGGGTCTGCAGATGATTCATTATTTCCACAGATTCAGGGAGACTACTGTGACTGCACTTTTCTTAATGTAGGAATTAGCTCTGAAGATTTCGCTTATAGGAAATGCTCACGGTATATAAATTGGTTTATTTATGTCTAGAGCCGTCTTTGCAGACATGTGAAGTTGCTGATGAACCTCCTACCCTAATTAAAGAGGATCTACTGCCCCTTGCTGCTCAGGTGACTCCGGCTGAGCTGTTCGCTGTCCCTAACATCCATGAACGTGGCATTATGATCAGTTTATACGACAGACATTCACAGATGTACAGTACCAGTCAAAAGTTTCGACACATTCATAGAAAGGTTCATTTGTAATATGCTCTACATTTTAGAATAGACATCAACAGTATAACATAACATATATTGAATTATGCACTTACCAAAAAAGTATTAAATAAAAAAATAATAATTTGTTGGATAGGCAGCTCTGTGGATTGGGACTCAGAAAGTTGCCAGTTGAAATCCCTGAGTGGGCAGAGTGATCCCACCATTGGGACCTTGAGCAAAGCCCTTAACCCCAGTTGTACCAGGGACTGGTTGACCCTACTGTATCCTCTACGCCAGTTTCATGAGGTGGCCTCCTGGGATGCTGCTCCAGCTGTCCTGAAGGAGGTTCCACACATATGCTGAGCTCTCATTGGCCACGTTTCTTTCACTCTCTGGTCAGACTTCTCCCAGACCATTTCTGCTATGTTTAGGTCAGGTGGCCAGGTCATGTGGTGCAACACTATCACTCACCTTTGTAGCCAGTTTTGCATGTCCAAACTTTTGATGGGTACTGTATGTAATAGATATAACATACATGCTGTACATTGTAGCGTCATTACAACTAAGGAAAACATTTGTGATTCAGTAAACCAAAACAGACATAACTTCATGTGTGTTTTTCAGGAGGAAGAGGAAAATTCCGGCGCGCCGCCTCTTAAAAGAGTATGTAATGAGCAGAACTCGGTCCTGCAGGCTACGTCCCTAAGCTAGCCCACAGTGCACTTGCCTAAGCCACTCGACTAGTTGGGCTGCTGTCTGTCCATCCTGGAATGGCTGCAACATAGACACACCAAGGACCAGACATGTTCAGCCGGACAAACACGTTACTATCGACCTGAGAATACTAGCTTGTACTATCTTCGACAAATATTGCATTTTTGCATAGTTCTCAGATGCTGAGATGATTTTTTTTTTTTCCCAGAAGGATCTTATACCAAAAAGTGTGCGAGAGAGATGCAAATAAACATCACTGGCATTCGTATGATCAAATAGGTTAAATGAATCCAAATGCGTATGCTAGGTTCTTCGTCTTCTTTAATTGGGATTACTATATTCAAGATATATCTTCATATTGTAAATCCTTAGTGTATGCGGTGTAATACATCAGGGTCCTGATGTCCTTGTCAATTTATATCAATACCTATAAGTAGTACGTAAAAGCCATGCTTGGTGTTGTATTGTCAAACTACTCTTGGTAAGCCTTGAAATGAATTTTAATGTGGAAGCGTTGTTTATGCATGTAAATTATTCACATTAAGTTGTGGCAAATGGGCTAAATTATATTTTAATTACAACTTTCTTGTATAATGAGAGACTTTTTCCAGTGGATAGTTCAATTTTCTGAATTCATGGAGCAGTAGTTTGAGGACAAATTAGTTTATTGACATAGATGGCAAACCAATGAATTTATTACGGATTGTGGAAATAATCTCAAGGTTCCGTTCAGATATTCATTCAGAATTATTATTGTTCACTATGCTTTAAATGTGCTTTGTTTCATATGTAGTTTCGGCATTAGGCCATGAATGTGACATGATAGTTAAGAATGATAGACCTCATGTGCATTTGACACCAATAGACTCAAGGAGACAGTTGGAATTTCCGTCTGCAGGAGAAGTTTTGCTCATGGTTCTGTAACCTCAGCATCTTCCCCATATGCCAAATGCAGGCATATATTTGAAAATTTGTTAAATACATGCACTGTAACCCACAAATACATAAAATAGCTGGATTCACAGATACATTTAGAAACATAACAGTTAGCTAAGGCCAGCATATACTGCAAGTTAGTAAATTCCTAATATGATTTATACTGTAGGACTTACAGTAATGTCCTGAAAAGTATTTTTAAGATCATTATTGTACTGACAATCAGAATTACTTGCCGGTGTTTTACAATGAACAGGTTTTATTGTGTAAATGAATATGTTATTCATAATTTATGAAAGAATGGTTTCACATTTGAAGGATGATTAAGCAAACAGGTGATATTAATGTTGTCCTGTTCTTATGTTGATGTTCTTCTATCCAATCACAGTTTTTTTTTAACCTAGTCTCATGACCATAATGCTCATCTATTTGTATGAGACCAGAGGTGTACTGTACTTTTTCTTTTGTGCACTGTTACAGTAACAGATGTGTTCTACGAATAGGGCACCATAAAATGAGTGATGAAATCCATAACTCAAAGCTGATTGTAATGCAGCAAAATCATAGTCATTGAATGACAAGGATACAAAGCCTATTCTCTTGAGCACAAGAAGAACCCAGAAGAAAGGTCTCCCAGAAAACCATTTATTTGAGAAATTTTAACTTTGTATCTTTAACAAAACCATTTTCTTTCTGGAATACTAGACACTGAACAAAACCATTATGCCATAAAATTTTCTACATAGCTTCTTCATTATTTGGGAAGCTTGGAATGTATTTTAATTTGAAGTATATAGGCTGGTTCGATTTTTTTTTTCTCTTTATAATGTATGACTTCCTTCATGAAACTCCACCAGATGCTAGTGATTACTATTCGTAGCGATATCCGGTCTTGTCTTGTACAGAGCTTTAACAACTGTGTAGCTATTCATTTTGCAGTATGAGGTTGTATTTTCTTGTTCTAGTTTTTTGTTTTATTCATGGAGATGATGCTTTTATGCTCATTTGTTGTTTGAAATAATCAAGTAAATGACTTCTCACAGCCATATTTTAAATAATACAATTGCAAAATGTTCTGTTTGGTCTATGGAGTCTACAGTTTTATCCTTTTCTTGCAAGAGGAGGGACTGGAGACAAGAATTTGTATAAACTATTTTGCTGGATGCTGAAAAAGTATTTTACTGTAACTGAGGACAACAAAGAATTTTATAAAGGAATGTGGATTTGGATTCAATTGGTGCCTGCACATTTGTCATGATATGTACCTGCAGAAAGATGTGGGTGGTTTAGTGGAACGTGGGGGTGAGACGATTTCCCACCAGCGCAGAGACTGTGTGTTTTCATGTGGGATATTGTGGGTAGGGGGGGGGAGGGGAAATTGTAGGGCTGGTTGGAAAAAGTTAATTGATAACATAACAGTTGAAGTAAAACATCTTCCACTAAGTCTCGTGGAATGTTCACTATGTTTTTTTCTTTCAAAGTATGACATCATCATATAATGCATATAAATATTAGAAACACAGATGGGGAACAAAACTATCTAGATGATGTTTTGGAGTAACAACATATTGCATATTGACACTGCTATGTATTGGCTTATTGATTTAACGTTAGTAGCGGTTCTTTACATGTGATAAATGCTCTTCGGTCGCTGTTACCAAGGAAAAGGACGCTCCGGCGTGGACAAACCGCTTTGGGACACTGTCGTTAAGAAGTCACGGGTAATTATAAAACAATCAAATAAATGATGCTATGCACCAAGAATCACTTTCAGAATTGAAAATAATCTGAACCAATATAAAGAAATCTAACAGAGCACCAGTTTATAAGTCATCTATCCGGTTTTACCGATATTTTTGTTTCTCTCGCGCTGCCGTGTTCTCCCGTTGCCCCGGCTACCAGAAGCGCGCCGTCCCGAACGATATGGCGGCGAGCTGGAGCAGCAACAGCGGGGAGGCTGTTTATCGCTCTCGCGATGCCATTAAAAACTTAAAAATACGGTAATCACGCCCGTTAGCTTCCTATCGAGAAAAGACGGGTTCTTATGAAAAAAATACGTTACGACTTCACTCTTCTAGAGCCCACGCTAATTTAATAACTAGCCTGCTAGTCTGCTAACCGTTGTGCAAGTTCTGTTAGACATATGTTTTCGTAATGTATCTGATCAACAAGAAACGCAAACTCTTCTTTGACTGTCTACAATAATATTTACTTAATCGATTGTCACTGGAAAATAATTCAAAGGAAAAATATAAATTGTGTTGAATCGTTGTCACAGGTTTGTCAATTAACTAGCTCAGCAATGGGTACTGTCGTCACATTTGCATTAGAAATAATTTATTAATTTAGTTACTTCTTACACTTCTTTATGCTTTCATGACATATTCTGGTTTTGTGCTGCCTAGTGAATAATGTGAACAAAGATATCAAATTCCTTTAATGTGTAACATTAACCTCCTGAGTCCCGGGCTTTTGTTTGGTGTGCATGTTTTATTTTCGTTAGCTATTTTGGATTAGTAGGACCTCATAATCATAAAAACCAAACATTATTTTTTTGAACAATTAATAGTTTTAAACTAAAAATGATGTCCATATATGAGGACGTAAGGTCTCAGGAGGTTAAGCCGTTGGTGAAGTACTAGGTTTACATTTACTGCTGGGCAGAGTATGGCTTCGACTGGCTTTTTAAAACCGTTTAATGCCTTACTGATGACGCCAAAGACCGGGGATTTAATGGCTGCTCTAATCTGTGTGCTGTTGGGGTGACAGAGCGCGCATCCAGCGGGTGACGTCCGCCGCAGCCTTATCCCGGCAGCTCCAAGAGCAGCAGGCGTCGGCGCAGCACGAGAGGGCTGGGATCGAGCTGGACACGCTGGGCAGCCAGCCCACACCAGGTACCCTGCTGCTCACAGCACCCCTTGTATCTGAATCACCACCATTTTGCCTGGAAATAAATACGTGAACACCTTACCATCTCACCTAAATGTGCTTGTTGATTATCCCCTTTGCTAAACTCTGGGCACGAATATGGAAGTGGTACACCTTTGCTGCTATATCAGCCACCACTCATCTGGGAAGGATTTCCGCTAGATTTTGGAGTGTGGTTGTGTGAATTTGAGCCCATTAAGCCACAAGAGCATCAGTAAGGTTGGGTACTGATGTCGAATGAGCAGGTGGCATTCCAATTAAACCCAAATGTGTTCAGTGGGATTGAGGTTGGGGTTCTGTGCAGGACTGTCAAGTTCTTCCACACCAAGCTCTCCAAACCATGGATTTATCGACACAGGGGTACACACACTGATGCTGGAACAGGAAAAGGCCTTCCCCAAACTGCTGTCACAAAGTTGGAAGAAATAATTGTTAAAAAATGCCTTTGTAACAGAGATACACTAATTATGTTGGTCGATACAGCGACAATTGGCTGTTGGCTAAACAGTTAGAATAATGTCTGCTGTAGAATTATTTTAATGTTTGTGAAACTGACATTAGAAATGCATTTTGCAAGCATCGCTCTGCTAAAATTTCATGAGTAGGATCTACTAATAAATATTTTAACGCAACAAATTTGATTGCTCACCTTAATTCAATTCAGTTCAATTCAAATAACTTTATTTGTCCCCGAGGGGCAATTAAAGAAAGCGAGATAGTGAAGTGTATGAAGAGTTTCTGAAAAAACAAATCCGTTCCAGTAAAGAGGGTTGCTGTATTGCCGAATAACACTAGTCTGTCAGTAACGCAAGCGTTTGATGACAAAAGAACATTCAGTGGAGACAGTGCGAAATCCAAATGTATTACTCAGAAAATTACAGGGTTTATCACACTTGATAGTTAGCCCTTCTCTGTTATAAATATGTAAGATGTATACAGTTATAAAATATAATGCTCTGGGACTGTTGTTGATTGCCAGGATTGGTGTTTTCTTCCCAAAAATAATTATTTTTTATACTTTTATACTTTTATGTTTTTGGAATGTAATTTATTTCTTTAATTTATTTGGGTGGAGTGTCCCTTTGAACTTATTGAAACAGAACCTCCCAAACAATCAGTATCAGTGTTAGTTTTTGAATATGTGTATGTACTGTATGCTAACAAATTAAGATTACTCTTCACTGCCAATAAGGAATCTCGACCAAATCATGAAAAACACCAAACAATTCTGTCCCCTCCACCAAACTTTACATTTGGCACTCAGGCAGGTAGTGCTCTGGCATCCGCCAAACCCAGATTCGTCCGTCAGACTGCCAGATAGCGAAGTGTGCTTCATCACTCCAGAGAACACATTTCCACCGCTCCGCAGTCTAATGGTGACATGTGTTATTCTGGTTGAGCCAACGCTTGGGTTGAACATAGCAATGGTAGGGTTGTGTACAGCTCCTAATGGACAGTTCTCTAGCTGACAATGCTTCCTATAGCTAGTGTCTCAACCAAGTAAGGATGAATTTGACGTGCCATACGTTTCAGTGCTCCGCGGTGCTGCTCGGCCAGCTTGTGTGCCCTACAGGCTGATTTATATTTCTGTGTGGAATCCATGCCATTGGTATGCAGTAGGTTGGGCGTGGCTGAGTACCCTACACCGCAAGCTGACACACACCTTCGCAAATATGTAACTACAGGTGTCAGGCTACAGAATAGGATACAAGGCTACATGGCTACCGACGGCATAGGTTCTACGCAAACGTATAAATGAGCCTTGCCTCTTTGTTGCTCCTAGATGCTTCCACTCTACAATAACAGCTAAAAGTTGACAGAGGCAGGTCTAGCGACAGAAATTTGATGAGCTGTTTTGTTGCATCTTATGACGGTGCTGAGCTCTTCACTATAACCCGTTCTTCTAGCAGTGTTGGTTTATGACTGTGTGCTTCATTTTGTTCACCTATTAGACGTATTGAACAGTAGTAAACCATGTGTAATGTGTTTCAGTTGGAGATGATCAGGAGGAACTTGTTGTGTCCTGGCAAGAGAAGTTATTCAGTCAGGTAGGGGATACACATGTTTGTTCATATACTGGACACACAGAAATTTAATATGCATACACATTATAATCTACTTATCAATATACATTAAATAGTCCTATTATTATTAATAGGATGTCCTTTTGAATTTATAAATCCCTGCACCCAGCGTCAGATTCTATATAAATCTATGACTTTTGTGTGTGCAGTTTGAGGTGGACCTGTATCAGACAGAGTCTGTGTGTGTGAGCCCATTGGACCGTCAGTATCACAATGACGTCGTGGCCTTGGAGCGGGCTGGGGGCAGGCGCAATCGCCGGATCTTCACCTACACAGACCACGATCGCTTCACCAATTTGGAGGAAGTGAGTATTTCCCCTCCCACCCCTATTGCTCCTTCATTGTTTTAAATGTTCTAAATTGATCATTTACTGGTGTGCATTTGATTTCTTTTTTACTGGTTGTTTATGAGCATTAAAAACAGTGTAGATATTCCTTTATTTGAAAAATACTGATCTTTTTAGATTACAGCATATAGCAGTTCACCCTGGAAAAAGCTAGTTTTAGTTGCATGTTTCATTAAATGTGATCATATGATTAATGAAACACTATACTGTAACATTACATATTTTGGCTTGTATTGAATTAATGTTGACAGTTACTGTTGAGAATGGCAACATTCTGTGTAATGTATGATTGTTGATTTTTGACATTATACTTTGTGCAACATTAGCAGTATGCAAGCTGATTACAGCATTCTATAAACATGTCAGAATCAAACAGAATGTTTTTGTTTCAGAGTTTGACACAACAATTAGAATAACTGCCCATTAAATCTATGTGTGTACATATGACAGGAATTTTCTCAGAGCCTGGTTATCCCAAGCAAGTCTATCCCAACCTTCTTGGCAGAGAGGATGGCCAATATGAGGCACAGGAGGCACGAGAGGCGCCAGCTGTGAGTTACAGTCCTTAATCATTTTGTTCTTTATTGTTTTTTTGTTTGGTCAGAATGATGCCAAATTTGGCAGAAGAATTTGCAGCGATCCCCAAATGTCCCTGAAATGGGGTTAAGATTCCAAAGCCCAGGCTTCAGTCATCCCAGGTTTCTGTGGAGAGATTGCATTGCTTAGCTGCTCATTCAGTCTTGCAGAACTTGAGTAAAGCTGCAGGGTAGTGAATGAGTGAATCTTGAGGTGTAGGGCTGCTGCAGACAGACCAACATACCAAGATAGAAAGGCTGCTTTATGCTAAGGGGGTAATTATGTTCATTAGCTTCCCCTATCAGTATTTTTTTACTTTCATTCTTTACTTTCATTATATCTAAATCTTCATGTGGTTAAGTACATTGAGCAGTTCTGAATAAACTGAACTAGCTTCTGTTTCCTGAATATGAGTATGTTCCCAGGATTTTTTTTCAGAATTCTTAATGTCCAAGTACCCAACGTCCCAAAGAACTGGGGAACCCTGGTTTAGGCCAAATGTTTACATTAAACTAGGCTAAAACTTTCAAAGTCAATGTTTGACAACATGCCAGTTATTACCATACATTTCCTGCGTGAAGACAATTAGGCTATCTACTTTATTCCCGTAAGAGGTGACGTCAAAATAATAACTGAGATTTTATTTTAGCCTTTATTTACTATATCAGATTTACAGTGGATCAAAAGTTTACATAGACCGAGTTGTATGTCTTTAAACCATGTGGAAGATTCCTGAAAAGTCTTTAGCCCTTAACTCTGTGTCTTCCCATAATGTGACACTTACACCATGTCTGATGGAGTGAGAAGGAGCACACGCTTTCTCCTATGTCCTTGCTGTCAGACGCCTGTTTCTTTTTAGTGAATGTCCTGCAGGCATCGTCTTTGATGTAGCCGGAAGCAGAGTGCTGTTCGCTCCATTTCCCCAGGTGCTGTAGGTGCCCACTTGACAGAGTTGGGTAATTCAGGTCCAGAGAGTAAAAGTCCAGAGTGGGATTTTATTTCAACCCACAAGTTGAGCATAAAGAGTCACAGTCACAGAGTACTCAGCTGGTTAGTACAAACCTCAACCCTTTCCCAACATCCAGGTCTGTTATGGCAGAAGGTATTGCATTCGGTGGTATGGATAATGTTGCTATCATTGAGAACCTACAGCAGGACTTTGATTAGGGATTTGCTGACTTGAAGACTCCACTGGTACCACGTTTCAGCTATTTACATACTCCTTTTCATTTGATGTTCACAACGCTTCCAGCACACTTCAGATGGAGCTTGTACATTTGCGGCGTAGCATTGACCTCAAAGCAAAGCAAGGAGGAACAGATGATTGGACAATCACTGGTTTTATTTTAGTGATCCTTATTGTGCCTTTTTGTGGGTTTCTATCATTAAGGGAAGGCTATATACCCAAGTCTCAGCTGATCACCTGGGAACCATCGGAGGAGTTTGTGAGGAACAGCCATGTCATCAGTACACCCATGCAAACTATGCACATCATGGCGGATCTGGGTCCAGTTGGGCAGTGAGTAACGTTCTGGATTTTGAGGTGTTTGTCTGAAGGTGCCGCTGCATCCCAACCTGGCCCAACTGCGTCTTGGCAGGCTGGGTAAGAGGGAGAATGAACATGTACTGTGTACTGTGAGAGTCGACGGCAGCGGCGTCATCACTGTCAAACCAGACTTCAACAACACAAAGGGACCCTACCGGTAGGTGACCGCCGCCAAACCTTTGGGTGCTGACCATCAAATAACATTTAATTATTTCATTAATAATTATTATTAAATAACATTTAAATGGTACAAGTATGCACAAACCCACAACTTTAAACAGGTGTCAGAGACATTTGATCCTACATATCTTATTCCAGAGATTGTTTTTAGAGAAAATGATGCCGTTTTAAAAATGTGTGGTAGGTGTTTTTTTTTTTTTGAGTATTATGATTGCTCGGATTCCGGCTCAGGGTGGAGACCAAAGGGGAGAAACGCGAAGTGTGGCACCTCACTCTGGAGAACGCGTCGGCCCCCATCAGCCAGGAGGAGAGGTCGAGGGAGCAGCACGTCTACAGCGATGTAAATGCAGGCCTGTCGCGTTCACGCAGCCTCACGTCACGTGACCCGAGTCTCCATAGGTCCCCAAGAACATCTGTGCTTTTACGTGTCATTTGGTCTGTTGACATTTCATGAAGTTTCTTGTCTTTAGCTCTACATTCGTCACAAAGACTACCTTGATAGCCTAGTTGGCCAAGACTTCGAAATGGTATGTGTCCTCTTTGTAGTAACTGATGTACTGAATTGCCATATTTGAAATGATCCATTCATCCGTCTTCCAGCTTCATATTGTAGCCAGGGTTATGGAGGAAGCCTGGTTTCACTTAATACATTAGTTCATCTTTTATACCACTTGTCCCATTTAATTCTATGGGTTGCTTTCACCTAATTTTCACTCTGTGACTCTAGGGGTTACTCATAACAGTTTGTAAAACTCCAAGGTGGATAACAGAAATGCAGTACTATTGTTTCACTGTTCAGAAGTCTATAAATCATATGGATTTTAATCCAGAAATTTAGGCGTTCAACCCAACCTGGTCCCCATACTGTCCCTTGTCAGTAAAAAGCATTTAACGCGTGGTATCTTCACATTTTCCATACCAATATTGTAACATTGAATAGTAGTATATTTTACCAGAACATAAAAGGCACTTATACTTGTACAAATGTCATAAAAGTATCATTATTATACAAAAAGATAACAAACATTTGAAGTACTTGTTGCAATCCCATAAGACTACTGCTCATAAATAATTATTCAAAAAACAATTCTTCCCTCTCACAAGCAATTTGTTCCTGTCATTATGCAATATTAACATACCTATTATTCTGTTCTTATTCTTCTTATATTAATTGTGTAGATGTCAGACTTTCAAAGATAACAGTAGTACCGTTTTATTTAACGGAATTTCTCCTCATTTGCATCATCTGCTTGTGCCTCCCTCAGCCTCCCCCGGGGATTCTTCGCCTGCTGGTGAATGGAGAGATCGGTAACTTCAGCAAATGGCAGACTTTCATTTAAAAAAAAATATATAAAAATGATTTTGTTTAATCTATGAAAGCCATGACAGACCTAGCCATTGGCAGGCCCAGAGTGCCGCTAACTTCAGGCTCTGTCCAATTGCAGTTTCAGCCCAGGGCTACGAGTATGACAACGTCTACATCCATTTCTTCATGGACTTGCCCCGCAGTAAGCAAGGATTCACCTTTGTGAAACGTGACACAGGCCACAACAACTTGCCACAAATTATGATTGGAAGTACAGAAGTGGCATGACCGTATATATGGAAGCATCTGTTTACTTAACTATTGTTATCCTTGGGTGGGAAGGAAGTAAAACACTTTGGATATTTTTGAATAAAACTCAAGAACTGCCTTGTGGTTATGCCAGCCAGACTGTCTTTCAGATTGTTTGAAGAATTTGTGCATGGTGTGATGTGCACTGCTGTTAATCCCTTTTGCCCTGCCTAGACTGGTCGAGTTTGCCTCTCCAGTCCTTTTCTGGAGTCACGCAGACCTGCCGCACACGCACCCTGGGCACGGTGAGGAACGGGAGGGGCTGCTCTTATTTCTGTTTGTCATGTGAAAAGCAGGGCGTTGGCTAAGGATCGAACGGTCTCCTTTGGGCTTGGCAGGAGAACGTCGCCTTCTTCTCTTACCCGTTCAGCTTTGAGGCGTTTTTCAGGAAAGAGGATGAGACAGAAGGTGAGCTCAGAGCAATTTGCTGTTAAATATACAGTGCCCGTCGAAAGTTTAGACACACCAAGCCACCTACAAAGCGATAGTGTTGCATCGCATGACCTGGCCACCTGACCTAGACTAGAAATGGTTTTGGAGGAGTTTGACCAGAGAGTGGAGGAAAAGCAGCCAATGAGAGGACCTCCTTCAGGACGGCTGGAAAAGCATCCCAGGAGGCCACCTCATGGAACTGGGATAGAGGAGACAGTCGGGTCAGCCAGTCCCTGTGGCAATTGGGGTTAAGGGCCTTGGTCAAGGGCCCAGTGGTGGGATCACTCTGCCCAATCAAGAATTCAAACCGGTAACCTGAGTCACAACCCACAGAGCTGCAGTCACCCATCGCCCCCCCCCGCAAATATTTTTTTTTCGTTTGATACTTTTTGGTCCGTGCGTAATTCCATACATGTTGTTTTCTAGCTTTATAATTACAGTGGAAACCGCTTATAGTGTATCTGGGTGAAATTTGATCAGCATAAGTGGATGATCATTATACCTGATTTTTTCTTCTTCTTTATGTCTCAGACAAATTACCATCTAATTGACATCTGTATATTTATTACATGAACACAGCGTCGCTATGTAATTTTACTGACAATTTCAAAATACAGTACAGCTGTTTCAAACTATTTTCAAATTACAGTACTGTCCAGTTTAAATTACGGAACGGTGTATTATTCAAACCCGCTATAATACAGTAAATATTCTTCAATTCAATTTTATTTACACAGCACATTTTCACAATGTTACATTGTATCAAAGCGCTTATTGTAGTTTCACTGCTGCATCTTGGAGGCTCGTTTTTGGTGGTTTATTATAAGCTATATTACTTTATTACTTTATTATGTCATGTTTTCCATGCACGCAGCATTAGCCTCGGGTAGTTAGCCAGAAGTGAACTGGTTACCACAAGGCAAAGTAGGACAATCAAAGTAAAGTACAAAAAAAAAAGTTCGACCACAGTTTGAATTTTTTTCCATATGTTGTCATGTATAAAAAGACTCAAAATGAACAGTATAAGCGGACTACTTGAGTACTATAAGCAAATTATTTAAACAGTATTTGTACAGTAATGATTCTGTCCCAAGCTTTCTGATCCATATGAGGTTGATCACTATAACCCTGATCACTGTATTGTAAAATGTAGAGAATATTACAAGTTAACCTTTGGGTAAGTGTGTCCAAATTTTTGACTAGCATGCTGTATGGTGTAAGCTGACAGGTGGACCCTGTGTAATATTGGTATATAATGTATGCAGAATTATTAGGCAAGTGCTATTCCTGATGATAATTTTCAGAAAAACCTAGGCAGGGCGATAAAAGTTAATTCATAATTCACAAAAGTAAATTTGTTTAGAGAGAAAATGTTACACTTGATTATTAGTGTGCAGAATCATTAGGCAAATGGAAAGTTAGTGGATTTTCTCACTTCACCATCCACAGAAATAATAAAGAAGTTCATTGAATCTGTATTACATTTACATTTACATTTACATTTACAGCATTTGGCAGACGCCCTTAGCCAGAGCGACTTGCATAAGTGCTTTAAGACTCCACAATGAATTTTCCCGATACTAGCTCAGTAAAAACCAAGGCTATGAATACCATCGATCTAATACTCTGTTGGAAAAGTGCTTTTTATGTATAAATGTATGTATTAAATTTATATAAATCTGTATATAAAGAATTATTTCTGTAATGTTCACTTTATGAAGTTTAATGTCCTGTATAACTGTTTTTCTGTTCAATAACCATCATGAGCCTTTTAGCCATTGAACCCGTGAAGTTTTTGATTTGATCACATTTTATATTAGCCGAGGCAGCTAGGGCAACCTCCCAGACGCCGCTCTGAGAAGTGAACTGCTCGCCGTCTTGGCAAATCTCACACTCTGTTAAGGCCAAGTAGTTCACAATGAGGTTTAAGCCAGACGATGAAGGGGGCCACATCATTCATTCACCTTTCAAGTCTTTCTTGACCAGCCAGTTTATGGAATGCTTAGATGCATGGGCAGGGACATTGTCCTGCATAAATATCACAACCTTTTGAAAGCTGTATACTCCTCCTTTAGCAGTGTTTAAAGAATGAGTCTTCTCGAAATTGACAGTAGATCTTGGAGTTGATTTTTACACCATCTGTAATGTCGGAATACAGGAAAGTATCCATGGTTTTCTGTGTTACTCCAAAGTACTCAGACCAAATATTTTTAAAATCAGTCCATTCTTAACTGGCAATACATCTGAACTCAAAATATTGTTCTGAAGAGAAGGTACAAGTAAAATACACGGAGCATATATTCACCATGTGTTGTATGTCAGTTGTCAAGGTGGTGATAATCTTTTAAGTAAAAAATGCTTTATTCATAAGGCCTCAGGTACAGACAAAAATAATCTCCCACCACACTTCCTCACTTACTTACGGTCTGCTAAACAGTCACACCCGATATAATTTGGCCTCATGTCCTGAAGTTTTTGTCCTGACTAAATATGAATCTTTAAGTGTATTTCACAGTTCAGATCTTCTTCACCTAATGTGGGCACTTTGTTGTCTGATTGTACCTGTAGTTCTCACTGTAACCACTAGGGGAAGCACTGGTTGACCATGTCCCATTTGTGCCTGCAGGGTCACTCCCCGAATGGCCTGTGCTGTACTTTGAGGTTCTCTCTCTGGATTCCTGGCAGCGCCACAGGACCGAAGGCTACGGTTACCTGGTAATCCCCGCAAGCCCTGGTAAGTCACATCTGCACATCGAAGGCTCCAGAACTGTCAAGGGCCAGCTGTGTGGCATCACCGCGGCCCCGTCCCGTCCGCAGGCTGCCACACCCTGACCTGCAGCACCTGGAGACCCCTGCAGTGTGGCACGCTGGCCGAGCTACGTCGCTTTTTTGTTGGCGGGGCCCTTGAGCTGGAGGATCTCAGCTATGTCCGGGTGCCCGGCACCTTTAAGGTCAGTCAGGCCTTTCACTTTGAGCGCTGCTGGGGAATTCATATGCCGGTAGATCCCTGGTCTTCCATATGCCAGGGAGATTGAGGAGTGCCCGAAAAGTAGTTCAGGGCTTTTCATTTTCTGCTAAGCAATATAACATTTGCAACTACTAATGTGGTTAAGTGCATGGACCATGGAACCGGGGTGGGGGGCATCATTAAGAATGCAGTTACGACCAATCACAAAATAATTACCTGCAAATCATTTCATGCAAATCAATAACACTTTATTAATAAAATCATGAATTATATCCATGTTTTCTGAATCAAAAGATTATTCAAAAGCAAACAGACAAGTGGACAGGACTTTATTCAGCACCTTGTTCAGATGCATTCCACTCTCCATGGATGAGGGTGATTTATCCTAATTAATGACATTCCACGTTGCACAGCACTATTGAAATGGGATTCTTCACAAATGTAGGATGCGGGAGGATAAGTTTTGAGTTATTCATTGCTAATTTATATCGAAAATTTCTTGTGCAGTGAGCTTAGCTTCTGAAATGAGGTTGAGCAGGCACACTTTACTTTGCCACAAGCTTGCTTCACAGTGGAGCAGCGAGCCTTTACCTCTGCATAGCTTTACCTCTTCTTCCCTCTCCTGCTTTCTAAGGGGGACCGTCTCAGTCGATTTGGTTTCCGCACAGTGACTACAGGAAGCGTGACATTTACCTTGCACTGTATTCAACATGCCAGGTGGGATGCTGTCACTGCTATCAGAATGTAATGGATGCTAACACAGGAATAAATATAATATTTAAGTTGAAAGTAATTTTCCTGTTGTAGAGCGTTTGTAGATGCCAGTGCATTGAGGAAGAGGAGACAGAGCGTGCTAGATCAGCTGGGAGGCTTCAGCCAACAAGGATCTGTCTACAATGTGCTAGGTGACTTTCTGTCTGCTGTCTGAACATGCAGTCACCTTCAGCTCAGTTCTGTAGAGGAGAATGACTAAGATTTTGCTCATCGTTGGGTATATTTAATACACAACCAAGGGAAACTGTACATTGAATATGGAACCAGCCACCTTTTGTCAACTTACTTGGGTCATTAAGGTTTTTCTGGCGCTGGAGATGAAAATGTCTGCAAATTGTCAGCATTTTTCTGATCCAACTGGCAGGAGTAGCCATATTAACCTCTGTCAGTCAGTGTGATTCATCTTGTGAAAATTCCCTTATTGATAAATTAAGCGAAATTTAGCGAAAGTCCTCACAATAAGCAAATTTCAAATCCAGGTATTTTCATGGATCCTATAATCTATTGAAAGTTCGTTAATTAGATGATAATAAAACACTTCCTGGGATTTCTGTGAAATTTCCGGCTATAACCATATGGTAAGAAAGATAACATGTAGGTGCTAATTTTAGCACTAAATATGTCTTGTGTATTGTGGATCCTACCACAGCAAAACAAGGGAGCTGTTTCAACTGTTTCTGCTGACTTTCTCCTTAATTCCAGCCTCACTTTGACCAGAATCACAATTGCCCTCTTCCTTGTAGAACCGGGAGATATTGTCCTCCTCTGCGTACATTGAAATAGTGTTATTTGAAAAAAAGAAAAAGAAAAATACCCTCAAGTTAATGATGTGAGAATGTGCTGGGCAAGATTGTTTCCTAACATTAGTTTAATGAACTATATTTTATTGTAACATTTCTAACTGTGCTGTTGTGCTCATCCCTCTGTGTGGTCCAGAGGCTTTTCAGAAGGCCAGGAGACGCATGCAGGAGGCCCGGGAGAGCCTTCCCAGAGACCTGATAAACACCAGCTCCCCACTCGCTCCCGAGCCCACCGCATAGCTCCCCTGCTCCATGATCACACCATCCAATCTGTGATCCCCAACTAACATAAGAAGAAGAAACGCTTCCTATCAGCGTTTTTTTTCTTCTTTTTTATACACTGTACGAATCTGAGGATTCTGCTTATAGTACCATCTGGAGATGATTTGCATATGTTTAACATATACAAGCAGTTTTATAGCAATTATGTGTATAGCCATATGTGTGTATAAATACAATGCATAATTGGTACTGATGTTATTGTTTTGGCTGGCTAAGCCAATATGTATTCTTTACATTTCAAATCTTAATGTATTGATTTTAATGTCTTAATAAAATGGTATATGTGGTAAGATTCTGTTGCTGCATATATACCTTCTTGTGAAAAATCTATATATTTGTATGTCTGTCACATTTTGAAAGGCACTAGTGCAGGGGTGGGAAATCTTATCTGTAAAGGGCCCGTGTGTATGTGGGTTTTCGCTACAACTTCCTAATTAGATTACTAATTAGAGGACTGATTGGCTGAAGAGTCCTCACACCTGGGTTTGAACAGCTGACCTACAGGTTATCCCAAAAACCTGCATATACACCAGCCCTTTGCGGATGACATTGCCCACCCCTGCACTAGTGTGTCACACTTCCCGGCTTGGGGGCTGTGATATGGCTTGTGAATGTGTGTATGTACCCCTGCCCAGTACCCTGTGCGGCCTGGAATTGGTGCGCCATGGATTGAGTTAATTATCTATTTACCCATTTAAAAAAAATAAAATAAAGACATTAAATAATTAAATGAGGCTATTAAAATGGCATGGCATATCCTGTTCAACGACTCAATTACAATGAGTAATAATTAAAAATCAAGAAATTGGGGTTTTTCCAAAGGATGTATAATCATTTTACTAAAACGGAAAAACAACTCCTAAGTGCACGTTTTGATTGCAACTTAAAGAGGAATTGCAAACTATGAGGAAATAAAACGGGAAAATCGCAGCTAACAACTCGATGGTGAACGTCTGTCTTCAACGTGGACTGAACGGGGCACCAACATACAGCATTGTTAGATAACAATAGATGATAGTTGGCGTGGTCCCTTAGAAAAAGATACGTGCATATGTCAGCTTAGCATTTCTTAAATATTTAGTTTTAAAAATGATTTCTCCTAATTTATGGTTGCTGCCAATAAACTGAAATTACATCGGAATTTTAAAAATGTATCGATTTGAGTTGACACAATCTGACCTTTAACCCTTCGCTTCAACCAACCTTGACAGAACTCCGGGAAATCGCGAAGTTTGGTGATGGATAGGACATCTAACCAATGAGCGACTTCGGCAGGGAACGGTGTCATTGACGGACCAATGAATCAGACGTAGAGGCGGAACTAATGCATGCGACGCCTCACGCTGCCCGGGTAACGGAGTTTTGGGGTTGCACAGAATGTTGCCGGCGGCCAAGGAACTCCCGCCATTTTTCAATCTGGATGTCGCACTCCTGTTTGTTTTTACAGCTCTTTGTACATCGCCGCGTATTTGGGGATAATATAAGAAATAACAAGGACCATCATCAGCCTCGCTGGAGGAGTCAAACCAAGGTATCTCATCCTGACCGCGGGAAAGCGCGCCAGACCCCCTGACGAGCGCCTTCGTTTTGGCTACTGCTCCGTTCAGGAGCTCAGTTGGACTTACTTTTCTTTTATCTCCGTTTTTAGGAAGGTCTTTTCCCTTTTCTGGTGAATACCCATATTTTCAATACTGGAACGTATAACATCTTTTGCGCCGAGTCGGGGCCATGACATCATCGGCTCATAGTAGCCAGCCCCGTTCCTGACCAGCCTGCTATGTGTTATTGTTTTGCGCTGAGGATCAAACCAGCCAACCGCTAGCTAGCTAGCCGGCTAGCTATGTACCCCACGCGTATTGGGTACCCGGGAAACGTGGGAGGAACTTCGTAATACCGGCGCTACGGATACATGTTAAAACTGTTTTGTGTTTTTAAGGGAATCCAGAGCAAGCTGTTAGGGACGTATTTATTTATTTATCAGTGCTTGCCGCTCTCTCGCTATGGCACCGTTGCTGGGCCGGAAGCCTTACCCGCTGATTAAGCCTATAGCCGAGCGGCCAGGCCCAGGAGAAGATGTCTACATCATCGAGCACACCAAGGAGGCCTTCAGGAACAAAGAGTATCCTTTCGGCTGCTAGTCACTGCTAGCTTCGCAGTTTCAGTTTTCGCTTTTAAAGACAGAAGTAAAACTTGGCTGAAGCAGTGTGAAGATTCTTTCCTTGTCGCACGAGTTTTGGCGATTCGGTGGCAGTTAAAACACGTTGTGCCCTTATAGAGTCTAGAATTTCTTATGTTTTCACAACACCGTATCTCTTTAAAAATCCCCGATGGTTATTGCTGTGTAGTTGACTTGCTAAATTTACGGACTCCTTGTTCATCTCTGGTGACGGCGCTTAATCAATTTTACTTGATTTATACCTAGACACGCTTAATCTGTCTTGGTGGAATACTTAAAGTATAGTGACAGCAAGAGATTTTTTAATACTTACGGCCATCTCGCTGTGCTGTGTGCCATGTGTTTTATGTACTTGTTTTATTTTGCCTTAGGATCAAATGTCACATTCTTCAGAAGTGTGGCTTCATGGGCTCGTTCATCCCCAAGTGTAACTGTCTGCCGACATTCCGCCGGGTGGGCGGCCGCCTTGTCTGTCATGTTTGCATGGCGCGATTCGCTGGATAAAGGCGAACGTGTTTGTGGTCATAAAATAAGTTTTGAAGTGATCACAAACAAAAGCTTATTACGAGTTGATGGAGAAAATGTGTAAATCTTTTCCCGTACACGGTTGATGTTTCTTTATATTTAGAAAGTGAGTTTGGTATTTTTTTTGCTTCACATTGAAACTGCGCGGGGCTGCCTCGCGCTAATGACTGGGCGGCTAAGCGCGTGCCGGCTTCTCCGTGCGGGAAATGTAGGCCGCGCTTCCAGATCGCGGCTCAGCCCGCTGTAGGTGCCCTTGTCTCCGAGGCGCTTCACCTTGCCATGTGTTTTTGTGTTGATGGCTGCGGCTCGCCTCTGCTCTGTACTGCTCTCGAAGTTTCTCAGACTCCGGGCTGTTTGGCGTAGAGAAGCCGTTCCCCCACCAGACGCTACAACAAAGGAGGCGAGCAAATCGGACAACGTGGGCATGACTGTGATATTCTCGTTTCTGATCATTTATATCTGTATGCCGTATAAATTTAATCCAGAAAACCACATTCAATTTCTAAACATGTTCACGTGTCGTTGAGCGTGCTATGTGATCTTCGGATTTAGGTGTAATTAGGTATATTAGTTTTTAAACTGACGTATGCTCTCTTGACATAGCCTAAATAGCTGATCCTTAATTATTCAGTGCAGTTGCCACAGACTTGCATCAATTATGAATGGTCCTGTCTGTCACAGGGCTGCGCAGGGACACCAGGCATAAAGCCCTCGCTTCCATACAACCGAGTGTCTCGTAACGTGTTTGTCATATAATCGTGTGCACCAGCCACAACAATGAACACCGAAACGGTCGGCTCTTTTCCTGAGCGATAACTTGCAGGGAATACGAGGCGCGCCTTCAGAAGTACAGCGAGCGCATTTGGACGTGCAAGAGCACCGGGAGCAGCCAGCTGACGCACAAAGAGGCCTGGGAGGAGGAGCAGGAAGTCACCGAGCTGTAAGCGCCCCGTGCACGCGCCGGTGTTCCGGGCAATTCGGTTTCCCTATGTTTCCCCTGTCTATCAGGAAATAATGCTTCTCCTAATATTAAAGCAAAGAGGTATGTGACATCTCTGAAAATCACTCAGGTACATTATTACATGTGAATACTGTATTGTTATTAGCACCGAGGCCCAGAGTTGCTGTATACCTGTTTTAACAGGGGGGAACCAAATATCCTGGATGTCAGGAAATAATGTTTCTCCTAATATTTAGGCAAATATGTATGTGAGATGTCTGAAAATCACTCGGGTACATTATTACATGTGAATACAGTAGATCGTCACGCATAATATAGTCTTATATAAGCAATACTATACCGTTTTCATCAAGAAATATCTCTATCCAGCGAATTAAATACTTTCATTTATTATCTGTAAAACAAGAAACATCGAAAAGGCATGTGATGTTTTAAAATATATGGCTTGTTTACCTCAAGAGCTTCTTAAAAAGACATGAAAACAACAGCGAAACCGTGTACAAATCAGCGCGCGACAGGGGAAACATCGCATGCACTGCTCCGTTTTTAAGAGGCTGTCCTTGTTTGTATGCATATATATGTGTACGGTTAGTGGCACGTTTAACTCAGAACAGATGCCAGGGGGCCAGATGAACGACCAGGATGCCCTTCTGAGATTAGAGGTCTGGCTGCTTGGGTTTTATTGAGAACGTGTGATGCATATCTTTGTGTTAATCTCTCCTTGATTGCATTAATTTGGTGTAGGTTAGTTTTTGTGGGGTCCCAAGCAGCCAAACCTTTTCGTCATTGTGATCTTTGTAGGCGGCCTTCACAGCTTTACTCTTAAGTCCATTATCATCCTTGCATAGATGTTTTGGTCCTGTAGTCGGTGTAAGTAATAGAAAAATATGACATTGCAAGTTAAACATTATGTGCTGAAATATTGCTATGGTAACTACATATAAATTGATATGAACATGATATGCATACTAGATTTATATGTTTCATATCTTAAGTATGAAATTTCTCCAGTCATTCCAGAGCTGGACATTGTTTGACATGATTGTGTTTGTGCCTTTCTGTTTGGAAAGACTTAAGGAGGAATATCCGGCATGGTTTGAAAAGCCAGTTTTGGAGATTGTCCATCACAACACCGTATCTCTGGACAAGCTCGTGGATCAAGCTTGGCTGGAGATCCTCACAAAGTATGCCGTGGATGAAGAATGCGATTTCTTGGTACGATAACCCAGCCTGCAGTGTGCCGATTAAACATTAACTGATTCTACATTTTGCCTGTGTAATTTCACTTGCATGTAATTTTGACTTAATGTGTCCTTATTCTTGTGGTCCGTAATCTGAACGGAGTCATGCAAATGATCATTTATCACTTAAATAGTACATCGCCCTCTTATTGAATCTTAATATTTTTGTGTATGCCTCCGTGTTGCTCATACATTCGCGGTCCATGTCTGTAGGTAGGGAAGGAGAAGAGCTTGCGAGTGAAGGTGGTGAAGGTGCATCCCCTGGAGAAGTCTGAGGAGGAAACCCCTGAAAAAAAGCTTGACGGAGCATGCGATTCTCCCTCGAGTGACAAGGAGAATGCCAGCCAGGAGAACCAGAAGAAGGACTCTTCTAAGGAGGAAGATGGCAAGAGGGAAAGCCTCTGTAAGTGAGCTGTGGCCCTTGGTGGGTTGCCGTAAAACAGCATGTGAGTCTCTGGCTTTGTAAAGCTGTACAAATGGGGCAGTTTGCGGCTCAGCAGGGTAAGTGTCTATCTGTGACCAGAAGGTTGCTGGTTTGAACCTGGCCTCGAACGAATGGTCACATTCCCATTAGGTGCTTGCGCAAGTCTCTTAACCCTTTAAAATGCTCCCTTGGTGCTGGACAAATAGTGTGTGTGTTATGTATACATTACATTGTGTGACTAAAAAAGCCTGTTATTCTGATGTTGTGGGGACCATTTTTTCAGTCCCCACTGCAATCAAAAAAAACTAAAAATGTCAAGTCTTGTTTTTTCTTTGGTTACATATGGTTAAGGTTAGGGCTGGGTAGGGGTTGAGATTATCATTGTAGGGATTAGGGTTGTGTCCATAGAAATTAATGGACGGTCCCCACAAAGATATGTATACAGGTGTGTGTGTGTCATAGGAGAGCAAGATGGGATATGTGAAAAGAAGTATTCCGATGTAGCTGTTCATCTGCTTATGCAAATGGTGGATCATTTTGTTATTTCACCTGCTCTCATTTCCGTAAGGTGAGCGAGCTCGCCGGTCGCCCAGGAAGCTCCCCACCAACCTGAAGGAAGAGAAGAAGAAGTGGGTGATGCCGAAGTTCCTGCCACACAAGTATGACGTGAAGCTCATCAATGAGGACAAGGTGATGCTATGACATCAGTCTGAGACACTGAGTAGTTTAACCCTTTGTTGCTTACTTCCTTTACAAAGTATTGTAAAGTTAAAGTAAATTTTGTAACCTTGGTTTTTTTGTAAACATAATTCTTTGCTAAGATTCGGTTGGTCTATATCTAACGCAATGAAAGCATGAAGTAGAAATCTAGTTAAACCACACACGTGTTATATGTCGTCATTTAACATCAGTCGTTAATATACCCTTACACTTTGCCAGGTGATCAGTAACGTGCCAGTGGACAGCCTCTTTCGCACGGAGCGGCCACCCAACAAGGAGATCATGCGCTACTTCATCCGCCACACAGCTCTGCGGCTGGGCACGGGAGAGAGCTCCCCCTGGGTTGTGGAGGATGAACTGGTCAAGAAGTACTCTCTGCCAAGCAAATTCAGTGATTTTTTGCTGGACCCACACAAGGTATCATTCAATCTATATTTCAACAAAACGTAGTAAATAACGAGTCGACTATTCCTCATCGTGGGGGTCAGGGGAGCGCAGGCCCCCTGAAATCTGGAAAAACTGTAAAAAATTTTGATCCCCTTGGCGAGCAAAGCGAAAAGTTACTAATAGCACAAGATACGCAGTGATCTTTGTATATAAGCACGAGATAGGAAGATCACTGCGAGATCTGTTACTCTGCGAGTAACACGCTTGGCGTCCTCAACCAACAGTGTACATATTTTATCCATATGAGTTGCTGCATTTTTGTGTGCCATCTGCTCCTTTCGTAAAACTCCTGGAAAATTCCCATCTATTTTTTTTTTTTTATGCCAACCTCACAATTTGTCCTACCATGAAAGGGAAAGTTGCCACGCAGAAGGGTCGACTGTACTGTCCTTTATCCTTTATTACCTGTTCAAGAGTTAAGATTAATTGAAATAATAGTGTTTATTAAGGATTAATTAATTGGCTGAGTTGCCAATCAAAGCCTTGTGTCACCTTTTAAATCTTCTTTACCGTGCGGCCTGACGCCACAACTGCAAGGTTGAAAAAATGCTATTTCTGGAACCCAAAAGTTCTTTTAATAACTGGAATGTTTCTATAAAATTGTATATAGATTTTAATGGAGCAGGTCACAAATTCTCTTCTTGATGACTGTCATGGAGTTGAATCTGGTGATTGCGGCCCGAAGGCCTGCCATTGGGTCGGCCGGTTTGTGTGCTCCGCTGGTTTTCGAAACCGCATCACTCGGCATCTCTACGCCTTCACGCATAACCTTTTCTGTGTTTCTGATCGCTTCTCTTGAAGTTGAGATGTTGCTCGTCACGAAGCGCCGTGTGGCGTAGAGGGAACGAGCTGTGCAGGCACTGGCAGGCATTTGTGTGTGTTAGTGCTTCATGGATGTTTGTAAGGCCTTTGATCATTTGAAACTGGGGGAAGTTTTTAGCTTCTCAAAACGGAAGACCGACAATTTGACATCAGTTGTTGATGTTATTTTGAATGGTGACAGGTGGGGTGAGGGTGTGTGAGTGTTTGTGAGTGTATGTTCATGTCCGCATGTGAAGCATCTCAATGGATGTGCATATTCGTTGTACAGGAAAGTACCGGCAGGCTGTACGGACACGATGCAAAGACAGTGTGGAAGACATCTTTATTGCATCATCAGATAAACAATGCAGTTTTTGTTTTTTCTAGTACTTTGCAGAGAACCCCACAGCTAAACGGAGAAGCTTAAGCACTTCGGAGGCTAAAGCGTCGAAGAGGCAGAAGATGGCAGGAGGGGATGCTGGTGTGATGAACGAGGGGGGGGAGAAGCTGAAAAAGAAGAAGAAAGCCCCGCTTAGCACACAGCTGAGCCCAACCATCTGGGGTCATGTGCAGGTAAACCCCCACCCCCGCAGCATAAATATGCATGATGGCAAACACTTCTGCTTTAGTTAGTTCTGTTCTGTTGAAGGCTGTGTAAAGCTAGAATGAATGGTTTTTGTGCTAATCTTTCTGTCAGATCAAAAAGATGAACGGCTCCCCTCTGAAAGTGAAGAACTCTGGGACTCCCAAGAAATTCGGCGACGGCGGAGAGGCCGGCGATGTCATTCTTTTGACGCCGGGCTTTCAGAAGGGCCCAAAGTCTAGCAAGAAGCAGGGCGACAAGAAGCAAAGTGAGCCCAAGAAGAGCAGGAAGAGCGGGGTCAGGAACTCCAGTAACCAGAAGACCAAGAAGGACGGGAAGGGAGTGAAGAGCCCTAAGATGAAGCAGATGACCCTGCTGGACGTGGCCAAGAACAGGTCCAGCGTGAGCCCCAAGAAGAAGGCCAGGAGCACTCAGGGAACCCCCAAGCTGGGGAAGCCCCTGCCTCCCATGGCGCTGCACCTCCTGCGCTACTACAAGGAGAACAAGGGCAAGGAGGACAAGAAGAGTGCCCTCTCCTCACTCATCTCCAAAGCGGCTAAGGTACTGACGCCGGAAGACCGCGGCCGGCTGCCAGAGGAGGTCCGTGTCATGGTGCAGAAGCGGTGGGAACTGCTGGAGCAGAAACGGCGCTGGGCGGCCATGAGCGAGGAGGAGCGACAGGACGAGCTGCGCAGGAAGCGTGAGGAGTTGAAGGAGAAGCTGCGGGAGAAGGCCAAGGAGCGGCGCGAGAAGGAGATGCTGGTGCGGAGGGAACAGCAGAGGAGATACGAAGACCAGGAGTTGGAGGGAAAGAGCCTGCCCAACTTCAGGCTGGTGGACATGGCCGAAGGCATCCCCAACACGCTCTTTGGCGATGTTGCCATGGTAGCAGACTTTCTGAATTGCTACTCTGACCTGCTGATGCCGGACGACCAGTACACTGTCACGGCAGCGGGGCTAATGGAGGCCCTCGGCACAGAGCGGGGTGGCTTCTTCTACCTGAATCGTGTGCTGGTGATCCTGCTGCAGACGCTTCTCCAGGACGAGTTGGCCGAGGGTTACCGCGAGCTGGACATGGCACTTTCCGACATCCCGCTCACCATGCACTCCGCCTCCGAGCTGGTGCGCCTCTGCCTGCGCCCGCAGGATGCCTGCGCTGACGGCAGCACCTCCGAGGACTCGGCCGACCCCGACCCCGACGACGCCGTGAGCACCGAGATCCTGGAGAAGCTGGAGACGTCGGAGGTGTTCGAGCTGAGCCCGCAGGAGAAGGCCGTCCTGCTGGTGGCGCTGTGCCACCGCATCCTAATGACCTACTCGGTAGAGGACCACGTGGAGGCCATGCAGCAGCGCTCCGCCGAGCTGTGGAAGGAGCGCCTGGCCACGCTCAAGGAGGTCAACGACCGCAAGAGGGCCGAGAAGCAGAAGCGCAAAGAGGAGATGGAGGCCAAAGGTGCCTCGGCAGGCTGGGTCAAGCTTGAGGGCGGCGGGGGGTCTGCCCCGGTGTCCTCGGGGAAGGCTGACAAAAAGAAAGAAGGCGGGGGTAAGAAAGACCCCCCCAAGGCCAAGTCGCTGCCCCCGCCTGCCGAATCGGAGCCTGATGACCTGATCAGCACCGTGAAGAGCAGGAGGCTTCAGACCATCCAGGCTAAGAAGGAGAAGGAGGAACAGGAGAGGATCAACAAGGGTAGGCTGCCGTGCCGTCGGGGTTGGGCAAACCCAGCCCTTGGTATTGTTCTGAATGGGATGCTCGGGCACAAGCATCCGAGCCAACCAACGCTCCTCTGTCCTTTCAGAGCGGATGGTGAAGGAGGCAGAGGAGGAGCGCGTGCGCAAGCAGAAGGCCGCCGCGGAGCGAACCTTCCAAGAGGGCATCAGGAAGGCCAAGCTGGTCCTGCGGCGAGTCCCACTGGGCACAGACCGTAACCACAACAGGTCAGCGAGCCACGTGTCAGCACCACATTTTGGCCCTTGAAAGGAGAGTTTGGGGGTTGTGGTAAACTCTTGCAGTGTCTTCACCCGTCTTTCCCAATTTCACTGATTTCTTCTTGTCACATTAATCAAAATAGATGAGTCTTACTTAAATGTGGCACAAAAATCTCATTGGAATTTCCCCGTCACGCAAGGATTTCAGGTGAGACACAGTTAGACTTGAAGCTGTATGTATATTTACAGTATGTGCAAGGTGGAGGTGACTCATCTGAAAGGTGGAGGTGTGTGATTTCCGGCTGTTCTTAGCCCAGCAGCATCCCTCTTAAGGGCCCAGCAGAAGTCAGCCGGCATCCTGGCTCTCGCCTTCATATCGTTTTTCCATATCAGAGACCAGGATCCTGTGTCAACACGTCCAGACATGTTATAGCCTGTAAACAGACACACTGCTATGTGCTCTTCTCTAAAACCTTAGAAATGTACGGAAATACCAAATAAAAGATTTTTCTTAAATTAAACTTCAATATACCGGCACTTTGTTAATCAGGAAATAAATTCTGCCAGTGTGTCCTAAAATGATATAACTCAAATACGTGGAAAATCGGCTTTAAAAAGTATGTTAGGCTCCCTTTAAGCAGTGTTATTCGTCTCCTTGTGTTAATATACTTTGACATGAAAGTAAATTAACGTTCCTTGCCCTGCCCCTAACACGGGTTTAGGATGGTGTAACTAGCCAGGTTTGCCGGTCTGTTGTGTGATGGACTAGCTGCTGTGTTGCAGGTACTGGCTGTTCTCTGACGTGGTGCCAGGTCTGTACATAGAAAAGGGCTGGGTGCACGAGAGCATCAACTACAGCTTCACTCCATCCCCCGAGGAGGTGAAGGAGGAGCCCAGCGTGGAGGGTGAGACCCCTCGCAGACACTTTCGTCTTGCGTGTCACGTAGCTGTTGTCTGATGGCTACTTTCCCCCCGCAGAGGAGAAGGAGGAAGAGGAGTGTGACGTAGATGAAGTTGCCCAGACGTCGCCGCAGGCTGCCCCACAGTCCTCTGTGGAGACGAGCGTCCCCAAACACGGGCAGAACCTCTGGTAGGGAGATGGAGCCCAGTCTGGGCTGGCACTAAGGCCTCACCCAGCCGAAGCGCGACACCAGTTTAAAGCTTCTCCGTTTGTGTGTGTGCTGCAGGTTTGTGTGTGACACTACGCGGGAGCTGGAGGAGCTGATGGGGAGCCTCCACCCTCAGGGAGTGAGGGAGAGTGAGCTCAAGAGCCGCCTGCAGTACAGGTGAGTGCCCCGTGCACTCTTCCGTTAAATTGTCACTTTTTTTGTTGGACATTAAAATAGTTTAGGATACGGATGCTCTTCTGCTTACCATCAGGTTGATTACCATAGGTTGTTAATCACTATATACAATGTTTACGATCACGATCTCTAACAGCATAAATGCTGCCATCACCCGATATCGTACGACGAACGGCGTGTCACTAGCCAAGGTCAGAATTCAGGGTTTGACTACTGAATGTGCATCGCTGTCGCACCGTGGTGAAGGCGCTGGATTGGAAGTTGAATCATAGGAAAGTGAGGAGCATCTGTGCTTGGCAGTAGGAGACCTTTTTGCGTCACATTGCCTAAAGGCTTCAGAGTCTGTTTGGTCTGAATCCATCGTGTTGGCTGGTTTGGCCCAGATACCAGGACATCCTGCGCTCCATATGCTTGGCTCGCAAGCCCAACCTGGGCCTGAAGACCTGCGACGGCCAGCAGGAGCTGCTCAAGTACCTGCGCAGTGACATCATGGAGGTGGCGTCGCGTCTGCAGAAAGGGGGCCTCGGATACATGGACGACATCTCCGAGTTTGAGGAGAAGGTCGGAAACTGCCACCGCAGGGTCACTACCATTATTATATAGGCAGAAGGGCGGAGCGGGAGGGGGGGGTATGGCCTTAAAGATGAGCGACTTTCTGTAGCTGTTCCTTGTGGGTCTTGCACTGAATACAAGACGCTTAAACTTGCAGTCTAACATGGTGGGAGTGTGTTGGGTTTCCCAGCCTGGTCTAGGAGGGCAAATGCTGATGAGTAAACTGACCCGAATGATTGGGGTCACCTGGCGCCCCCCCACAGGTACGTTCTCTGGAGAACCTGAAGGACTTTGGCGAGTGCGTCATCACCCTCCAGGAGAGCGTTATCAAGAAGTTTCTCCAGGGCTTCATGGCTCCCAAGCAGAAGAAGAAGCGAAAGCAGGCAGGGGAGGAGAGCAGCAAGGCAGAGGAGCCGGACGAGGAGAAGAAGCTGTCGGAGGAGGCGCGGGTGGGTGACCGCGTGACGGCCGGCTCTGTCTCCTCCTTACGAGTCTGTGGGCTTCCAGGTTCCTCAGCACCGAGTCGTATGAAGGTGCCGGGGACTCAAAGTTTGTCTGCCGTTTGATGTTCTTTTGAACCATTTCGTGGTTTGACTTTGTGGGTTTGCGGAGCTGCACTTTCTCTGCACTGGTTGCGGTGGTATTTTAATTAACTGGGGCTGTTTAATGTTGAGTTGCAAGTTCCATCCATCATCTGCTTTACTGGTGAAATATACAGTACTGTGCTTAAATGATCTTTATGTTGGTGTGAAACCAGTGCTGTTATGTCAGTGTGTCAGCCATTTCAAAACCCTAAAATCACCCCAGTGTTTACAGCAGCCATGCAATATACCCCTGTATATTTATTATTTTTTTTACTTGGCCACTAGCAGACCTCATATAATTAATCAATGCCACTTTGACTTTTTTTTAATTAAGTTAGTTAAGTGAGCTGGTGATGAAATTTAATAAACACATGGAATGGCTGGGTTGCCCCTGAGAAGAGGTTACAACTAGATATCAGTGACTTTTTGGATTACAGAAGAAATTTCTACTAGCTTTTATTATTTTATCCTTAATTTGTGTTATAATGTTAAATTGTGCTTTTTATTCTGCACAAATATGCACTTGCTACCCAGAAAATAGCTTTAAACATTTCTTTTTGACTGCCTAAGACTTTTGCACAGTACTGCAGTTTGATGGGTTTTTTAAGTAAGGAATTTGTTACCCATTTATGCCTTTTAATGCTATGTGATTTGTGATAGTTGAAAATGTATATTATTTTCACTTCAGTTACATGAGGGAATATGGTGGCCTATTTGAATGTACAGGTTTAAACATAACATATTGTGCTGATCAGCAGTTTGATGGCAGTGCGATGTCCATGCCCGTCCTGCAGGTGGCGACGGCGGTGGAGAGGTGGAAGACCGCCATCCGCGAAGCACAGACCTTCTCGCGCATGCACGTCCTACTAGGCATGCTGGATGCCTGCATCAAGTGGGACCTCTCCGCGGAGAACGCACGCTGCAAAGTGTGCCGCAAGAAAGGTGGGTGTGCGGCTCCCCGTTAGGCCTCGCCGCCCGACCGCTGCGATCACCCCACCTTCCATTCTTTTAGTTGGTTACACTGGGAGGAGCAGCATGTTTGTGTTCAGGTTCTTACAGGGCTAGACTGACATTATAAATGTTTCCCCTTGGTCGGGTCTGGAAATAAATTTGAAAGACTGCAAAACATCTTAAGGACTGAAAATGAGCAAACTCAACTTATGTATAGTGAGATTTGCAAAGAGAACTAGTTTTGTGTGGAGAATTAGAAAACCTGGACCGTGTTTTTTTAGAGCCTGAAAGTCTATTTTGTCTTAAGCTGTAGGGTTGCTGCGTATGATTGGGGACTTACTGGATTTAATATAAAAGTCATGTGATTTCAAAATTAAACAAAGATTAGCATTTTATGAACGTAAAAGTGTTTTAGGCAGGTAGGAAAGTTTTTAGTTTGATCAAGGTGCAATTTACTGTATGTCTTAAAAAATGAATGACTGTTTAAAATGACTTTCTGACAAGTTTCTAGTTGTAGAAGTACTTTAATATTGGCCTGGTCTAATCACGTGTTCCATGTGCCTATGCCGCTTTTTCACCACTAGGGGGCCTCCAAGGGCTGTTACTTCACAGCCCATCTGCATGTTTATCATCGACTGAAACATTGACTCATTTACTGCCAGAATTAATCATTCAGAGACTAACGGGTAACATTTATATCCAGCAAACGCAGGCAGGCTGAGGAGGAGACGCTGTAGAAGCAGCCGAATGCTGAAACGTTGGGTTCGGTGTGGGGTTCGCACTCGGCAGTGCAGGCTTGACGCTCTGCCTGGGCAGCCATGGGAACTGCTCCAGTCTCTTATCGTTACTATGGGGGGAGGCGCACAACAAACTTAGCACGCGCAGTATTAGCAGATGGGATATCTATAGTACCATGTTTTATTCAACCGGTGCCATGTGGACTCATGGTGTGACCATGATCCTACACATTATTTTCTACGTTATTTTCGGCTTGAGATAAACGACGACATATGCTAGGGAGATGAAAGGGCATACGTCTGCCCTCATTGGCTGCAAATGCGCTGCATTAGGCTGCGTGACAGGATGTGTGGACAGGTCTGCCATCTTGCTCCGAGTCTGTCTAGACTCCCTGATGGTGGGGCTGTGCTATAGAGTGACTGATGCAATGCATGCTGGGAGATGAAGTCCGTCAAAGGGATGGTTGCATCATTTAGCTTACTATGCTAGACCCCTGTGGGTAGTTGATTTCGTCTCATCTTTTTTGCTTGTTTTTTTTTTAGCTGCCTAGTTTGCTAATCACATTCCTTTCAAATGTGCAGAGTGAATTAAGGAAAATAGTGTCAGGACCTCTTGTAGGCTTTGTTCTTTGAGTAGTGTGCTGCCACACCCTGTCACAGTGTCACCCCGGGCGCCTGCTGTGCGTCAGCACACAGGTAATCCAGTGTGACCCTCTTTTCGCCCTCTTTCAATGGCAGGAGAGGACGACAAGCTGATCCTGTGTGACGAGTGCAACAAGCCCTTCCACCTGTTCTGCCTCCGCCCCGTGCTGTACTCCATCCCTGACGGGGAGTGGCTCTGTCCTGCCTGCCTGCCTGCCGGGGCGCGCCGCTGCTCTCGTGGCAGGTATGCCCTCACCCACCCACCCACTCCACTCGGCTCACAAAGCCACCTGCAGGGAGGTGGTGAGGAACACAGTGACACTCCGTTCGGGCTGCATTGCAGTCTTTCAGAAACACGGGACACACAAATTATATCCCTAAGACTTAATGTGTACCAACTCTGCACTGATGGACAGCAGCCAGGGATGGCTCTTACTGTGTACTAACACTGAACTGATGGACAGCAGCCAGGGATGGCTCTTAGTGTGTACTAACTCTGCACTGATGGACAGCAGCCAGGGATGGCTCTTAGTGTGTACTAACTCTGCACTGATGGACAGCAGCCAGGGATGGCTCTTAGTGTGTACTAACTCTGCACTGATGGACAGCAGCCAGGGATGGCTCTTAGTGTGTACTAACTCTGCACTGATGGACAGCAGCCAGGGATGGCTCTTGGTGTGTACTAACACTGCACTGATGGGCAGCAGCCAGGGATGGCTCTTAGATGATCCAATACACTTACAAATACTTGGTCTGTAATATAACAGAGTAGATATTCACATGTCCTACTTTTGAGTTACAAGTCATCACATATTTAAATTGTTTTTTCATTCAGAGCTAATAACTATTTTTCACTACATTCAGTTTCCCTGAATCTGCAGTTCTATCATAGACCCTTGGGCTGGATTTCCAATTTAAATTGATTACACCTCTCATGATGTGTGTTACCGACTTTGAAAATTATACCTGAGATACATGACCTCAAACCCTACGTGCTGTTTGGTTCCAGCTGAGCTCCTGGACAGATTTAATCTTTGCTTTATTTTCTGTTGACTGGATAAATGGTGTAAGTAATTTTAGGTGGTTCAAAGGCCACATGTTACATATGTTAAAGTATTATATATGCACTCTGCATCTGATCCTGATGTGAATGTTAAACCAGAGGATATGCTGCTGAACTTAGGTTAATTGCTTTTTTATAGTTCAAGTAAATAATGTTCATTAGTAGACATTTTTTATTAAACTCATTAGATGATATGTGACCCTATACTGAATGAATGGTAGAATTATGGGATTTATTAATTCGAATGGCGAATGAGAGTGAAGTGGAAAGGTTTCGGTTCTCAGCTGGAACAGAACCTTGTGTCCGGAGGCTCTTCATTCAGGTGCTGAGCCTCCCAGCTTGCTGTCTGGAGGCTCTTCATTCAGGTGCTGAGCCTCCCAGCTTGCTGGTCCGGAGGCTCTTCATTCAGGTGCTGAGCCTCCCAGCTTGCTGGTCCGGAGGCTCTTCATTCAGGTGCTGAGCCTCCCAGCTTGCTGGCCACACCGTTACGCCTCATGTGCTGCTCTCGCTTACCCCGGTCAGATAGACGTATCTGTGTATGTTGCAGGAACTACAAAGAAGAATCTGAAGAGGAAGAGGACTCTGAGGAAGAGTCTGAGGAAGAAGAGGATGATCCTCAGGAAGAGGAAGAGGAGGAAGATGATGACTTCAAGCCCATTGGACACAGCTGTATGTCCCTCCTCTCTGCTGGCTGCATTCTGCAGTTTGCTGCCTGCTTTTTCCAGTCGCGCGTTTTGGTGAAAGTTAGTTTTTTTGGGCAGTTAGGGACGCCAGGGCTGTTCAGATTCCCGAAGTACGTGGGGGTGTTACTGCCAGGTGCCTCGGGGACCGAACGGCGACTGCCGGCGTCTGAGCCATGATGGCTACATCAGCAGCAGGATCTACTGGCCGCTGGGCGAGGGGGGGTCGTCTCCCCCGAATGGGCGACTTGCTGAACCGTCGGCGTGTTTAATGGGGCGCTAATGTATGGCGGCAGCAGCTGTGACACGCGGGCTGCCCCCAGCCCTTCGCCGGGAGCTGACAGGCAGGCTGACAAGCAGACAAAGAGCACCATATGCCCCTGCTGCTCTGCCCCCTCCCCCTCCCCACAATCAGCCAATGACCCGTGAGGGAGGCGGGGCTTGCCTGTGAGGATGATGTAATGCCCAGCATGTGGAGTGGGAATCCCACGAATGAGGGCTGGACAAAAGAGACTTCACCGTAAACGTGGTGCTGAGGGGTGGGAATGATCGCTATGCGCTCTGCTCTTCTCATCATTACGATTATTTTTTTGAATGTGTTCTTATGCAGCTATTTTATTTATATTGTCTGTTTGCTCTGGTTGTCTGGCTTTGAGAGGTTACTGGTAGGACGACTGAATGCCGCCGCACGTGTCTGGTTGAGTTTGGGGTGTTAAGTTGGGGCTCTGGTCCCACTGGTGCCTACCAACCCCCCCCTCCCCCCCTTCCCAGCAAGCTTTCCAGTACGTCAGCCAGCGAGCTTCACAATCCACCCCGGCCAGCCCTGTTTTTACTGTTCTCCTCGTGCCCCCCCTCCCCCCTCGTTTTTTGTTTCCATTCCTGTATGGCGCTGGGTCGTCCCCATGGCCCCCAGCACCTGTCTGGGTGCCTCAGAGGCGGCCTGTGCTCTGTTCATATGCATTCTGACATGCCAGCCCAGTGCGGGAGACCCTGGGAAAAAAATGGCGTCTGTGTCACTGCTGCCGACCTGCAGACGCCTGACAGTGCGCCCCCTGCAGGACATTAGGGGGTGGCTATCCTGTGCCCCATTAACACGAGCCATTCCCATCTTTGAAATTAATATTTGAAATGTCATATGAATATCTTGGTTGATTTTTTTTATTTTTGTTTTTGCTTAGGTGTCGAATCAATTCTTATTGTATTAAATGTTGGCAATATCTCAATATCTGTCACTTGGACTGTGCTGAAGTCTCATAAAATTTATGACAAGAAGTGAAGCACTATCAACGATTTATTAAAATGTTAAAATTCCAGGAGGGCTTGCTCCTGTCCCCGTGAGGCAGAACTGTTTATCTTTTCCGTGAATTTCGTTGATCAGAGGTTACAGTAATATTTCTTCTCATTGTAACTCTGGCCAGTCACGTCATTTATAATCATTTGGCTGTAAGTGGATGCCTCGTTGGCTCCTCTGTGCTCTGGCAGTCTGGTGATTAATCGCATAGTTCTGTAGGTGAGCGGTGCTTGTCTCTTAAGGATGATTAAGCAAACGGGCCTTCAAAAATGGTTGAGTTATGATTAACATTTGAACCGGCAAGTGACCGGAGGAGACTGTCTGAGAGGAAGTCCTGCTGCAGCCTTTTAATAGTAATTGTTCTGCTTTATTAATAATAATAATAATAATAATTTACACTTTATTAATCCCCGTGGGGAAATTCTTTTTTTTACGCCTCCCTCAACTTGCTTTTAAGCAGGGAGTCGTTAAGTACGGTGGCGCGTGTGTGTGTGTGTGTTTGTGTCCGTGAGCATTCTCACCCTTTGTTCGTGTCCCTCAGTGAGACCGCGGAAGGCGACCAAAGGGAAGCAGTCATCCTCCCGCTCCAAGCAGCCCAGCAGGGCGGCGGCCAAGAAGCAGTTGCCCCGCGGAGGGAGGGCTAGGGCCTCGGCAGGCAGCCTCGCAGAGCCCGAGGAGCCGGTAAGGATCGGGTGGCGTGTCTGACACACTACGCTTTGGCTGGGTCGGGAGATGCTGTACTAAATGGCCTTAATGCTGAGGAGTGTCTGTCAGGCAGAAGGGCTTCCCAGCTCCCTTTAAACCGAAGCTGTCATCCAGGCCGAGCTATCGTCGCATACTTAACCACCTGACTAGGTTTGTGAGCGACCCCCCCCCCCCAAACTGGGGGGTCTTTATCAGAGCCCGGCGTGCTTCAGCTCCTCGTTACCCGACAGGCTGGCGCTCAGGGGCCTCTGGAATGCCAGCTGTGACCCCCCCCCGCGCTGTCTGTCGGCCCGCGTAGACACCTTCAGGGCTGCCAGGCCACGCGGGGCCCCATTTCAGCGCTCGCCCTGCCACTGTTTTGCAGCAGAATACCCTGGATCTCAGCACCGAATGTAGCCACTGACGTCCGGCCCGTCACTCCCTAACCACATGGTCTGTTGTCACAAGCTGCTGCTTGGTTTTCCTGCTGTAAGGCTTCTCTTCCACACATTGCAGGGCCGACTGTCTCGGGGCCCCCGGCCCCTGTGCGAGCCAAGCAGGGCGTCAAGCTTTCCCTCACTCATTATCGCTGTTGCGCNCCCCCCCCCCCCCCCCACGCAGGTACGGCAGAGCTCCAGGATGGGTGGCCGGAGGCACAACGTGGAGTTGGAAAAGTGTGAGGACGTTCTGCAGAAGCTTATAAAGTACCGCTGCAGCTGGCCGTTCAGGTGAGAGCAGCCTCTACACCCTGAGTGGCTCGGCGCCGTTGGAATGGACCTCTTAGCATCGTTAATGCTGTCTGCAGAGTTGGCGAGCAGAGTGCCGAGATCTCCTCTTTCTTATAGAGAGCCAGTGTCCCCTGAAGAGGCGGAGGACTACCTGGACATCATCTCCCATCCCATGGACTTCCAGACCATGTTGCAGAAGTTCGCAGAAGGCCAGTACCGGCACAGCAGCGACTTCCTGGAGGACATGAAGCTGGTGTTCTCCAACGCGGAGGAGTACAACCAACCGGGCAGCGTTGTGCTGTCCTGCATGGCCAAGACAGAGCAGACCTTCGTGGAGCTGCTCCATAGGATGGTGCCGGGCCTGAGCTACCTGCGGAGGCGGCCCAGGAGGCGTCAGGGGCGAGTGGAGGAGGCAGCCCGGGGTGCGGGGCGGACTGCCAGGCGGGGGGAGGAAGAGGAGGAGCAGGATGAGGAGCCGCCCGGCCGGCAAACCAGGCGGGGGCGTGTGGCACGGCTGGCCTGCGAGGAGAGCGACAGCGAGGAGGAGGAGGAGGAGGAGGTGCGCTCACGGAGGACCGGCAGACGTGCTGTGGCCGCCGCCCACAGGGATGAGCGCGAGCCGGAGAGTGACGGCGAGCGGAAGGCGGGACGGCCGCGTAGGGGGGCGCGATGTGGGCCGGAGGGCAGGAGACCCTCGCCCCTCAAGAGGGGGGAGGCTGAGGAGGAGAGCAGCGAGGAGGACAAAGCCAGCCAGCGACATTCCAAACGGCAGAAGCTGCTCACATGAGGAGCAGAGAGCAGAGGGGATTTGCATTCTCTTTGTCTGGGTGATACTGAGATCCTGCCGTTTATGTCCACAAGTCACACAACCCCTTCCCCCATTTCCTTTCTGTCCATCTTTTGAAAATCTGATTTTAATACCTGTAATGTTAACATTGGTGTAACCCCCGTCCTCGGCCCCGAAAACGGACAGAATGTTTCAGTATTGAGTGAAGTGAGCGCTTTTATAAAACAATTTCCTTTATCCTGTCTGTATGTTTTGGTATCCTGATCATTAAAATGGACCGCTCGGTGATCTGGGCCCGTGGCTCTGGCACGAGTTTAATGCTGAAGGAGGGAACTTTGATGCAGATGTGGGAGGGGCGGGGGGCTGGCAGCTGTGGGGGGAGAGGGAGAGGGAGCTCGCAGCTGTGAATTAAACTTGTAACTCTTTGGACTCTTTATTCAACACTGAAACACTGGCGTCCCGTTTCCTGGCTCCAGCTGAGTTTGGGCCCAGTCTTAAAACTCACTCTGGATATTCTTTTTCTTTTCCCATATGCAACAATCTGATCACTGCTATAATTATGCAATTTATTATTTTTTTTTCCATTCTAATGAAATACTTTTTTCAGAAAGCAGCTCTGGTGCAAGTCCCTTCTGCTTTAAGCCAATACTGGAAAAGGTGCAAGTTCTATGTTTGTCTCGACAAATCCAGGTAAACGTGCTGTTCCTGTTGGCAGGAATCAAACTTGAATTTAAATTGACCTTTTTTTTCGTTTTGGGTCAGCAGATGGCGCTATATGTGTGCAGTGTCTCCAGTGAACTGCAGTTATAACAATTCTACCTCTTACTTACCTCATCGTAAATGATATTGGACAGTAACACCCCCGTGGACCCATTTATAATACCAATTTTTAGGTAATTCTATTTCAAGATGTCAAAATAGAACTGACAACTTTTTGTGTTTCCTGCAAACCAAAAGAAAATATCGGCCTGGTCTGCTCTTGGTTCTACAGCAGTTGGATTATATTTTTGTTGAACCCCTTTTTATAGACATGGGTTTGAAGACGTACGGTACATTTTTGGCGTAGAAGGCGGACAGCCTATGATTAGCCATTTCAAGCCGTGTCAAACCACAATCCAGTTCTATCTGCCAGCTGTGTGCCCAGGTCCCAGTTTAGATTGGCTGAACCCTCTCCTCTCCATTGGTCACCAAACAGGTGACTGGTATCTTTGTTTTAATTTCACACTGCTATTTGTCATCTGCAGAATAAATATTAGGCAGCCATCATCAGCCCTTCTAATAGAAACGTATTTGCATGCTGTTTGCTTCTGTTTGCCTTAAATCAGGCATTGCTGGTTTAATATGTTAAAACCTTAAATTGTTACTTAAATCCTTTAGTCCTCAGTTTTAGCAACTTGATATTTAACGATATCAAGAGTATATTTTAACCGTCTTGCGTAGTCCTTCCCTCGCCCTGCGCAGCACTGAAGGTGTGGTTTGGCGCTCTGACCACTAGGTGTTGCTCTTGTCTCGCAATAATGTAGGTTTGCGGTCAAACGAGTCTGAAGGCTTGTTCTCCGAACCAGCCCCTGGTTGCCCTCTGACCTCTCTCTGCGCTTCATGTGGCCTCCTGTCCTGCCAGCGGCTGGACAGCCGAGTAGCTGGTGGTGTAGAGAAGGTCCAGGCTCTGCTAGCTTGGGCCCCGCATCGCGCATATCCCATCTCTTCTTTCAGGCACTTGAATTCTCTTCTCCAGTAGCCACGTTAAATATCTTACATTAGCTTTCATCTGTCGCAAAGCTTTTTTTGAGCTATATATTTGCAGGGACGCCCTGTTGTTTTTATGGCTGGATTTGGATGTGATGTCATCGGGGGGGGGGGGGTACACAAGTCTGTTGACTGTTGCCCCCATTTATAGATCAGTTGTACATGCTTTCTTTGTTTACTCAGACTCAAAGTCTGCAATGACTCTGTTTTTATAGGCCCTGAATAGGCTAAGATGAACAAGTTGGACTCCATTGTAATTCTAAATAAAAATAAATAAGCATTTTAATTTTAGATCCTGTTTTTCTGATGTGTAATTTCCCACCCGTCACTGCCAATCAAACTTTATAATATTTGGACTTTGGGGGAGGGGGGTGTTATAGTAATAAATGATAAAATGATTCTAAATGTACAAAAAGTTGTCTTTTCTTGCGGTTGCCTTTTAAACACCCAAATTGAATGCACAGCAATTCTAGTGAGACTGCCTGTTCTTATCTACCTGCATTTAGCAGTAGGCAAAGGCGCGGTTTGTCTTCTCATGCATGACTGCTTGGCAGCCTTCACTGATGCCTGTTGACTGTCAGTTCCATAACCGCAGTGTCACATGTCCTTTCTCATTCACAGTCCAGTTAACTTAAATAGCCTAGTTGGGGTTTCGGTCGTCTTCAGCAAACAGTTGCTCATTTTGTCCCCATTATCCAGCCAGCTTTGTCTCCTTGTCTTCCTTTAATGGTTCCCCTTTGTATTTGGCTGAGGTTTGTACCGAATCACTGGTTGTCGCACTGGTTAAAAAAAAAAAATCCTGAAGTTATGGATTGTAACGCGTGTCTCATTGGGGGAGACGTGAAAGCCCTGGGAGAAGGTGCACCTGTGGGGGCTGTTTGTCACCAACGCTAGGGGGAGGTCAGGGCTGCTCCATCAGGCACATTCCCACGACGTTCAGAAACCTAGTTCATGGTTCTGAGTTCCTGGGCCTGCAATGGCCACTTTCGTGTGTTGCTTTTGCACCACACAACAGGAACTGGAACCTTTATGCTAAATAAGCATGGGAGATGCTTGTGGGTTAAATTTCACACAATTTCCATCGCTGTCTGGGTCTTATATTTAAAAATTACCGATTGAATGGGTCAAACTCCTGAACACGTACTTTAAAAGTGCAGTTAGATGCTGGATGGAATGATAACCTGAGTTGTTTCTCAAGGAAGCCTCTGAAATGATATCCAAATTGGTCAGTGATCTCATTTTCCATTCATTATTTAAGCATTCTTCATTAATGGGATTCTCTTGTATCAGTTGCAATCCCCCCACACTTGCCTTTTAAGACATCCTCCGTGTCTCTGACCGACAGGAACGGAACCTGAGATCCACATGGTTCTGAGGGAACAATACTCCATGGTCGCTCTTGAACCAGTCGCTGATGCATAAGGATTCCCACCACTGGGGTGCTGGGAACATTAAGCGCCTCTTATCAGCAGATACCAAACCCGTTCAGCTCTGCGATCAGTATCACCATCACCATCCCTGGTTTTAAAGTGCCTGCTGTGTGTGTTTCACTCCTCTAATACCACAGTGCACAAAAACATACTCCGGGGAAGTTCTACCGAGAAAGCCCTGAGAGTCGCAGCACAATGCCTAATGACTTTCATTATACTTGGAGCTCCCGTACTACTACTCAGATACTCGACGCTGCACGAGTCGCGTTTGCTGGGAGTTTGTGTTTTCCCAGTACCCAGATTGCCCTGGGTCTTTCTTTAGATCGCTAACATCGCAGTTTTGCCCCAGCGTGGACCCCTGCCTTTATCCTGGTCCACAAGGCCATATTTAATCCCTGTCTTGTGTAACGCAGCTGCCCCCTATATATCCCGCAAACCCTGCGGTAACGTAATCCTTCCTTTTGAAAACGCGCATACATACACAGGCACAGTGACAAGTCCTCAGATCCAGGGAGCCTTTCAATGCTTTATCTATGGGACTTTCTTAACATGGCCCTGTGTACGAAGGGCAACAAATTGATGAAAAAGTGGATTAAAGGGCAGAATGGCTCTCAGCCAAGGGCCTCAGTCCTCTTTCAAAAAGATCCTGTTCAGTGCTTGCTGTGATCCGTGCTGGCCCAGCCTGTAGCTTTCCTTCTCTGGGACTTGTTTTTGAGCCTGCTATGTTCACACACCCCCCTGAAAGCACGGTGTTGTACCAGAAGGTGACCTCATCTGGTGTTTTTTTCGTGCTGAAGCCGCAAGGTGCAAAAATCAGATTGACGCTTGACTCCGCTGGACGCGTTCCTGAATTGAAAAACACACTAGTTATTCTTACAGCAAAACAGGAGACGGAAATTATGCCACGTCTGTGCACTGATGAACGCAGTTCAAGGCCCCTGGGGTGCTCTATCATGGTACCCTAAGAGCAGACACAATTGCAAATTGTGAGGAATTTTTGGGACAAAAATTGTCATCTAAGCAACAAAATAACTTCTTCCTGCAAGTCAAAGACTTTGATGTACTGGTATGCAGCTATGTGGTGTGATAATGAGATCTGATAAGACTTTAAGGGTGAATGAAGTCGTATGGAGCACGAAGGAGGAGTTTGATCACTGAGAATTATGGCCTTTCATTGATGATGTTTCTTGATATCTCGAGGTAAAGTGTGCCATGGAGTCAGTATTTTGAATGGCTACCAAAATATTTCTCTCTTGAGAGGGTGAAATCTTACGTTGTTATTCTTACAAGCTACGACTGCTGCTGTTACCCTCCTAATTTGATTAGGTTTGTTCATTGAAGGTAGGTGAAGTTCAAATGACCCTTGCAGGCCTATTTCCATCTGGTCTATAATTTTGATCTTGGGTTTTTTTGTTCCTCAAGCTGCTCTATGGGGGATGTGGGTAGTTTGGCTCCATCACGCCCCCTGCTGGGGCCCGGGAGTCACATGGAAGCAGCTGTCCAGCAGCATTTGGTAAGGAGAGGTGAGAAAACTGGGCACCCCGTCATGTGTAACAACTGTGCGGGCTGAACAAGGCTGGCCTGTGGGGGATGGCCGTGCGTGGAATCCCAAGCCTCCCCAGCTCCCCATTCGTCCCTCTGCTCCTCCTCACTTTCCCCCCTTATATCTCTCTTCCTCTCCCCCCTTCAGGGGGTCTCTCAAACTTTCTTCACTCCCATTGAAAGGTTAAACTGTCCTTTCTCACTTTCATCTGTTTATTCACACATTTCATCCACCCCCCCCCCCAGTTTAATGGCAGGGCAGAGCGTGAGTGCCCGCTAGGCATGTGCCCGCTGTGATCTTTGACCCACCGCTACAAACCTACACCGGCAGGTAACCAATCAAGGTCTTGAACCCTGTCAGTACCGGCAGTGGTCAAGTTGTAAAAATATTTCGAGGAGGAGGGTGCGGGTCAAGGGGAATTGTAGGGGGGCATGATAAAATTTGCTGAGGGGGTTGGGGGGGGCATTCACATGGTCCAGATTAAATTGATTTAGTCCAATCACAGAGCAGAGTTTGCTGGTATATTTATCTTAACGTGAGTGAAACTACACAGAACGGGGGATGGTATATTTTCACAGATGATGTTTTTGTCATTTCTTTCCCACAGGGGGTGGCATCCACTTGCATCCCATTACACTTCCAGCCTAAAATACGGGGACCAACAACCAAATATTGATGGACTTGCCCAGACCTCAGGTGTCTCCCCCTTACTCTGGCCGGGCACTTATTCAGACACACGTGTGTTTTGCCGCATGGTTCCCAGGACGTTAATCCCTCAACCCCTCTCTCTGCTTGTCTTGCTTTCTCTGGTGAGCTAAGGGAGTCTAGGACATAAGCAGAGGAAATGGCAGTGAACACATATGCTACCCGCACTTACATAGTCAAGGGCGTCCTGAACCGACCGCCTTTTTCGGTGATGTGCCGTGGAAAGGACGAATAGATGTCGATAACATGCATTTAAGAGCCCTTGAAGAAATTGAAGATCATAGCATTTCTGGGTACAGATCATTCTTCAGCCTGATAATGCACTACGTGTCACAAAGACCTGAGATTCTGCTTTGGCGGTGCATATTTCAGCCTCATTAAAACAAACAAACAGGCCAGACGGCTTAATTTGAAGCCCAAGGAGGCAAACAATCATGCTGCTTTCCTTTGATGTGAAGACCAGAATCCTGCCCCCCCCCAAGTAAAAGAGCAAGGGAGGGGCTTCTCAGTGCCAGCTGAGGTCTTATTTCCATACAGAAGCCCCTCGTTAATGGGTCTGATTAAACGCTGTCCCGCGCCTTGGGACGCTGGTCAGGGTGAGGGCGGGGCTCCATGGTACCTCATTGTTCACCGTGTGACAGTTCATTCCAGCTGTTCAGTGGGGGTGGTTTTAGAGAAAAAATAAATATAGAAAAGCAAACTGCATTAGGGATGCAAGAAAAAACTTGTGCATCCTCACAGGTGGAAAGTTCAGGTCCAGAAAATACAAATCCAGACCAAAGTTTTGCTCCTACCGATCAATTGAGTATAAAAAGTCACATTCACACAATACTCAATTGGCTGGCTGAAACAAAACCATGGTCTGGATTTGTACTTTCTGGACTTTAACTTCCCACAACTGTGTATCCTGTTGAAGATTATGGGATTCTTCCCTGTTTCCAGAACTCTCTTGGTCACCCAGTTACACTATGACAAAACCATCTTCTGTAAAAATAAAAAAAAATTTTTATTATCAAACGAGCAGTCACCATCAAGAAATATTCACTTTTCTAATGTGTGAGTTTAGCTCATTTACAGACTTTCTTTCAGATTAAAATTTAACTTAATGGAATGACTTGAATAAACAATATGAATGACACCGAATGTAATTCAGCGGAAAGTTCAGCTTTCAAACCGGACAAAGCATGTAATTCCAGGCCAGCAGTTTCCTCCTGGTGACACTTCTGTGGCGCAGAGGTCCAAGGTTTGTCTGCCAAGTGGGGGTCGTGGTACCCCTTAAACTGAGATACTGTCCCTCTGCGGCACTCAGCTCTCATGGGCTTATTCCAGCGTATGTGTGTGTGTGTGTGTGTGTCCGTCCACCCGCCCGCCCCCAGCAGAAACACAAATGCACTCTATCGACCAGCTGGCCAGGGAATGCTTGAGAATACCCCAGGGTTGGCTGGAATCTGACGCTGAGGAAACGTGCTCTTCTGGTCCGTCTTACTCAGCGAGCCACATGTGTGCTTCTTAATACAGGCAGCAAGGCTCCCTGGGAGTTTACTGCCAGGCACACATACACACACATATGTTTCATATCTTCATTCATATCTTTGTCCATTCATTTTTACGGG